TGATTACTTAAATGCACTTTCTAGTGGCTGATCTAACATTTTTTGCATCAAGCGATTAAAAGATAGTAGTATATTTCCAATTTCTCTGCTCATGCAAACATGGTCTTTAGATTCATTAGCTAGTGGTCAAGAATTTCAACCATATACAAAGAATATCCCTGTCGTTGCAATGACAACAGACGTATTGGCAGATAGTGCATATGAGATATAGATTCGTTTATATCAAAACCTGTTACTTTTCATAACCTGAAACAATGTCTAGAACAATATTTAGCATGAGATATGTTGTAAAAGTTTTGCTTTGTATATCCAAGATAAAATTTCGTCTATTTGAGATCTCTCATCTCGAATTTTTTCTTTACATAAGTGGCCTTACTTTCTTGCTCTTTAGATGTGCCAACATGATTCAGATTTATCAACAGATAATGCAATAATAGGCAAAACCAGATTCTGATAAAAATGCATAGCTAAATTGGGTTATTCACATACCTTTCTTTGAGCAAGTACTTGTTAAGTTGATTATATCACATACGCTCAAATTATTCAATCCATATAAGCATTTGCAGTACTTCATCGAGTATGTACCACGTGGTTTTGCTTTAGGAATTTTAAATCCTTTCGGAATTTTCATAAATATTATTATTTAGTGATCCATATCAATATGACATAACCACATTCATTAGATGGATATGTAGTTTTCATATGACTGCCAAATTGATTATAAAGTGGAATGTGATTGAATCTATTATAAAAGAGTATGTATCATCATAATCAATATCAGGTCTTTGTGAACAACCTTGAGCTACTAGTCGTGCATTATATCTCATAATTTCATTATTCTCATTATATATATATTTTTTTTTGTACAAGTACTCATTTGTACTTTGAACAATATTCTAAGAAATACATAGAAATTTCCAATCAACATCATATTCTCCTCGTAGTTTTATAATTGAATATGGAATGTATTATCATGGTTTTATAGTTGAATATGGAATGGATAGAGATGAATTGTTTATGTTTGTTAATATACCATGTATGCATATGATTCATATCATGAGTTTGTCAATATGCTATATATGTATATGACATGTATACTTCTTAAGACACCCTCAGGTGTTTAGCTTAGTGCAGTTAGCTCTATTTGTATTGCTCTTTCTTATGATGGCCAATCATGTACCTATCGACTTTCTTCGACATTTTCATCTTGAGGTTTTAGATCCTCATTATTTATATTAAGAACAATTGTATATGAGAATATGTTGTCTATGACAACTTCATTTATGTTTCATCTATTTTCATAATTTATTGAGATCTCATTATTTTCAGGTACCTTTGCAATATTATTATCGTTAGCTAACTTGACTTTGTCAGGTTCCTTTACCACATCAAGGGCATGTGTCTTATCAATGACATCTTTATCAGTGTTAGCTAATTGGGTCTCTTTAGTAACACCTATGTCGCTCCTGAATTTTCTCTGCCCTCTCTAAGAGTTATATTAAACACTTAAGGGTCAGAAAACGAGTTTAATGCGACAGAGTGACTATAGTCAAATTATTATTTATTTGGAGTCGCCACCTAACATAGGGTTTATTGGTGTGTTAGGTCACCCTAAAATGTCTAACGACTTTATATTTAAATATTATTTCTCTTATTTGACATCCATTTTAATCTGTTAATGGGTCCGTGGGTTTGGTTATGCATGGAAAGGTGTTGGACATCCCATGACACCCGTGAAAAACGGTTACCTTATTTTTATATTCCATTCTTGAGTTATGAGTTTAAAAACATATGAGTTCTTAGCTCTCTCAATAAAGATAAAATCAATGCTTTCATAGTAGTGTTTATTAAAAAGATTATGACTTTGTATCTAAACATATTAATTTTGGAAAGGAAATGATCTTCCAAAAATGTGATTTAATAAAATATTATTTTAGAAATATAATTTTTAGAAAATATCATTTCCAAAAGAAAATTTGATTTATTAGAAAATATAAAACTTTATTTAATTAATTCCTAATTTTGGAATCAAATATTTATATAAAAAGGTGAATCTTGGATTATTTTAGAAAAATAATAGCTTTTAGGAAAGCTTAATTTATAGAGAAAATACTTTTTATGAAAACTTTCTTCTAAGATGAAGAGCTTTTAGAAAAGCTTTATTTTAAGAATTGTGTCCTTTCTTCTAAGATGAAGAGCTTTTAGAAAAGCTTTATTTTAAGAATTGTGTCCTTTAGATATATTTGATTTTAACAAAATATTACTTTTGAAAAATATATGTTTTTAGTATTATTTTTGAAATAGATAGGACCTTTTGGAAACTTTTGATTTTAAGAAATTTTAGTTTTTGAAAAAAACATGAATTTAGTAAACTTTTATTTTAATAAAATGTTATTTTTGGATAAAAAGATATAATTGCAAAAATATTGTTTCAAAAGACTTTAGAAGATATGATTTCTAAAGAAAACTGTAATCTTAGAAAATATGATATTTAGAAAATACGATTTCTATGAAAGGTGGTTTTTCTTTTTTTAAAAAATAATTTCCTTAATAAAAAATAACTTTAAGAAAGTATGATTTTAACTATTCTTGATTTATATTCTCTAAATATTAACCTTTGGCAATATCTAAGTCAATTATTACTGCAACCACTTAATTTTAAAAACAATCCAAGTTGTCCGTACAAGCATGGAATATAAATTTGGCAGTGGGTCACTGACTCACTGGCCATGTTTACTGCTCCCTTTGTTCTAATATAAGTACCACTGAGGTTGCTTGAGACCAAAGGATTCCTACCATGAACTATATATAAGTAATTTATTATATTGTATATATATTTTATTATTTTATGTTATTTATTTATTATTTTCCTTTTATCTATTTTTTTTCTTTCTATTTTAAGGTTTTGATGCGTTATTAACACGCAATGGTGTGGTCTATTTATTCATTTGGATATTAAATTTGACTGCTTTTAAAGTTTCAATCAAACTTGAAAGGTTTAGGGGTGCAAAATTACGATTTTGTCCCTGCCTTGATGGAATGCTAAAAGTTGCTTTGTGAAGTGGACTTCTGGTGTAACTTATGGTTTTGAGACGTTCCGAATCCAATGGTAATATCCATTTTAGGTCGGTGGTCAAATTTTTTTGATTTTCCTACCTTGGCCGAAATACACCTACAAATGGGCAAGGGCAAAATGGGGCGTCTACAACCTATTTCATCATGTTCTTTTGCATATAACTCATTAAGTGTCTTTGCTTCATCAAGGGCTACTTTAGCATTATTAGTTAATTGGGCCTCTTTAGGAGCGCCCATGTTATTATGTATTCATTCTAATATTTTTCTATTTCATAGAACATAATCTTTTGTACCGACTGATACATCATACATCATACGTACTTTTGAAGCATTTGCAACACTGATAGAATGTCCCATCGGGACTTCAATTCTTGCTGCAATATTCGCAGCTGAAAACTAATTGGAATATGTAAAGAGAAGAAGAAATATCTTCATATGATTTTTAATGATCTTTAAAAAATCTAATTGGGTCTTTAAGGATACAATATGATGCATTGTAGAGAAGAAACGAGGAATATGTAAAGAGAAGAAAAAATGTCTTTATATGATCTTTATTGATCCTAAAAAAAAATCTGATTATTCACCTTCCAGTCAAGTCTCCAACAAAGTGAATGTGTGAGTTTTTTTGTGAGAGATAAATAATAATCATAATAACCTTTCAAAAAATAAAAATAAAAATAATTCTCCGTGATAATTAAAAAATGTAGGTGGAGGCATGTTAGTGCAGTTTTGAAACCTAGCAAGGATGGCTTGATGCAATTTGAGGCCTAAAACAAAAGGTTTAATTAGGCATTCTCACGCTAATTATATCAATATAATACTAATCATTTTTATTTAATTCTCTTTGCTTAAATTACAATAAGTTCAAGAAAATACAAAAATACTATCTACGTTTTTAGCTCAAGAGAAGAGAGAATGATTTAATTGAGCAAACAATTGATGCACACCAAAAGAAATATAATATCGAACAAGCATTGGTATGTAAGAAAATTTAAAAATTAGAATAAGTCCAAAAGGTGTGAGATTGTTTAACGATGAGATATAAAAAAAAAACATGAAGTAATTTAATGGATAAACTTGTCAATTTCTTTTCCTTTTTGCTTTTCTGAATTGGAATATTGTGGATGTTGATTCTGCCTTCCTTATGAAGGCTGTTTGATTACCCAGAAAGTGAAGGAAATAAATTGGAATCTCAAATCACTTCCGTTGATATTGGATAAGAATAAAATTTGCTTCTGTTTTTGAGTGCTTGGACTTGCAAGTTACATAAATTAGGACTTGTATAAGCAACACACTTCACTATTGTCTTTCACTGACTCCTCTCTTTCTTTCAAGTGGATGAATTGAGACTAGAGAAAGTCCAGTACCCACATTACCCACAATCATGACTTTTTTTTCTTCTCTTTTCAGAACAAACATTTCATAGAAAAAATTGCTATAGTAATTCATGAGTGTATATATATATACACGTGCGCATATCAAATTACAGATATAGATATGAATCTTAGGAAGAAATGAGAAATTCTAGTGATAAGATGCGAGTTGTCTAACCCAAGGGATTGGCCTATTAGGAAAAGACTTGGGCCTGTGTGTCATGAAGCATTATGTCTCATGATCGATTTCTCCTAGGTGCAAACAATTCTTTGGAAGCCACGCCAGCGGACATAACTCGAGCTTTACCCGATCGTTTGGGGAGCACATCTACGGACATAATTCGAGCTTTACCCGATCCGTGTGGTGGGGTTGGGGGGGGGGGGGAGCCTTGCACAGGTCCCATGGATTAGTCGGGGCAAAAGTCCCGGAAATCCTGGCTATCGGGAAAAACAGGCTCAAAGTTCTTTGAGCAGTAAGAGGGGCAAAATCTATAAATTGGAAAGAACAGCTGCACCTTTGAAGGGCATGCTAACATCTGAATAACCACATCATAAAAACTCAAATGAAACATAATATACCAATAGAAACCTCCCCATGGAGATCAGAGAATTACAATATCAAAGAAATCCTTTTTTTTGGCTAAACATTACACCATCCTCAGTTTTCCCATTACTGAACTTTAATAGCAAATAGCATGAAACATATGACTGGTAAATCTGTTTTCATGCTTTCAGCATATTTACATTTATTTCACATTACAAGAAAACTAACCTTTGAGCAAAGAATACCTTGCCCCTTGTAATAATTTAAAATGCTTTAATTCTGTCTTACATGCAACTTCGTCCTCGTTGAATTCTGTAATATTCGATGACCATATGCAATACGCTAGATAGATGCTCCACACGTTGTCCTCAAAGCACGAAACAGAAACACCGATTTACGAAACATAGGCAACTTACTTGAAACACCAGGCAAATGGCCCGGAAGACTACCTTTACTCATCGCGCATCAGCAGAAGTGAAGGATTCCGCAAATCCAGCTGGCCTAGCTGGAATACTTCCCTTGCTGTTCTCAAGACTAGTACCACTTAAATCTTTGGTTTCTGATTCCTGCCACCCCCTTAACATCTGGGGAAGAGGTAGTGTGTAATCAATGCCGGAATATTCCTCTTTTTCTTCATCAAATGGTTTCCACTTCTGGACCAGTGGTGCCAGCACATTCACTGCATGTCCCATGTCAGGTCGATGATTTGGATCCCTTGCACTGCAATGTCCAGCCAGCTCAGCTACAATGCAGATGCTATCAAGAGTCTCTTCTTTTGCATCAAGAGTTGGGTCAATGGCAGCAGTTAACTTCTCTCTGTTTGATTTAATTTGCCAGAACCACTCAGCCAAATACCGGTTTTCCTCTGAGCGCTGCTCATCTAGTGCCACTAACCCTGTCAAAAGTTCCATCAACACCACTCCGTAGCTGAAGACATCAGCTTTAGTTGTGATTTTCCCCATTACTGGAAAACAGAAATTTGAATTAGAAGAAAATCCGGAGACATGTAGGGAAGAGTTCAAAATTTATATAGTTAGAATAACAGTCGTACCGAGGAATGCACTGAAAGACATCTACCTTTACAGTGTTCTATGGAATTCATGCTGGGAAATGCCATCAAACAGCATAGACTAGAGAAGTGCATACTTTTTATGATGTCAAAAACTCATGGCTCTATGATTAAAATTCAAGTTCACCTTCCAAAGTAGAAGGTCGATGGTTCAATCCCCATAGGGGCAAAGTGCGTGTGTGAGTTTCTGGTTGGTTCGATAGAATTAAATATATACTTTATCGCAACAATTAACAATTCAAGAGGAAAAAAAGGAGATTAAATAGGATGCCTAAAATGCATTTAATTGTGTTCTTTACCAATATGTTCATCTATATTGAGAGGAATGTCAATTCTGTCCAAAACTATTCTGTAGTTCCTCAACTAGTCAACTTTTAAACAGTTTAGCATAAAATAATTTTTCCAGCTACTGAATAGAAGCTACAACAGGTAATTACTAAAACATGTTATATGAAAACTAGACACCATATATTCTCGGTAAGACTGTTATAGTTAAGATAGCAGTCATACCGAGGACTGCACTAAAAAACACCTGTTCTATGGAATTCATGCTGGGAAATGCCATCCAACAGCATAGACTAGAGGAGTGCATACATTTTATGATGTCAAAAAACTCATGGTTCTATGATTAAAATTCGAGTTCAGACCACCAAGGGCTGTAGACTAGGTATTTCTTCACCTTCCAAAGTAGAAGGTCGAGGGTTCAAGTACCATAGGGGCAAAGTGGGTGTGTGAGTGTGTTTCTTGCCAAGGAAGAAGGGGAAAAAAAATCAAGTTCATCAAAGAGGCTTTCTAAATGCACTTTTTATGCAGCTTTTTGCAAGCAAAGGTGTTCTTGTTCAATGTGTAATTTTTTGGATGTTGGCTCAATATAACTAAATACATACTTTCACAACAATTAACAATTTTAGAGGAATTTTTTTTTTATAAAAAAAATAGAGACATTAAATAGGATGCATAAAATGCATTTTATTGTGTTCCTTACCAGTACATTCATCTATGTTGAGAGGGATGTCAATCCTGTCCACAACTATTCTGTAGTTCCTCAACTTTTAACAGTTGAGCATAAAATAATTTTTGCAGCTTCTGAATAGATGCTACAACATATTATTACTAAAAACATGTTATATGAAAACCAGACACCAAATATTACTATATTGTGCATTAAATGCCCAAAAAGGGTGGATAGAAAGGCATTACAGTGTGTATAGCATGCGATCAGATGGTAGAAAAGAATATGGTCTAGTTTGCAATGTAAGAGGACTGTGGCAACTTAAAGTGTCATAATCATTTTTGCAAACTTTAAATCAATCTATTCATGGTAGTATGCTAAACAATGCAAGAAAACTTCTCTATGCAATCTGAAAGTAACTGATACAAAGAGGCTCTTACCGGCATATTCAGGTGCAAGGTATCCAAATGTTCCCGCAAGCCTGGTAGCAACAGACTTATCTCTGTCAGGAGCAAGTTTCACTAATCCAAAATCAGAAACTTTTGCCCTAAAATCATCACTAAGAAGAATATTTGAAGATTTAAGATCTCGATGTATGAAACTTTGGTGTGCCAGATTATGAAGATACTCCATCCCTCTAGCGACATCCAAAGCAATAATAAGCCTCCTTGTCCAAGATAGAGGCTCCAAGTTCAGGCTTTTCCAATGGAAGAGATGCCTGCTTAGAGCCCCCTGGGGCATATATTCATAAACCAAAAGCCTCTCATTGCCTTCAACAGAGTGCCCCAGAAGCGATACCAGATGGCGGTGCCGGACCTTAGAAAGAACAGCAATTTCAGCTTGAAATTCATCCAAAGCTTTGTTACTAACTACCCCAGACTCCATTCTCTTGACTGCTATTTTTGTCCCGTCTTCAGGTTCACCCTTGTAAACTGCTCCAAAACCACCACGGCCAAGCTCGTTTTCTGGTGCAAAATTATTTGTCGCCTTCCGTAGAACCTGAACAGAAATTACCAGATTGCCAGCATCAATCATATGAGTGTTTTCAACTCCACCATTGTTTCTTCTATCAGGACTATTTCCAGTTTGAGCGAAGAAGGTTCCAGGGGCGCCATTTGAAACTGCAACCTTAACCAGGTTATCTGGATTAGATGGGTCTCTTGGGTGGACCACAATAGAACTTGGAAACTCTGTAGAGGCTTTCCTCTTCTTATAGTAGTATGTAAACAAAAGAATCACTACAAGAACCAGAAGCAAGAAAGCTGCACCTATGATCACAATGACAACTACTTTAAATCTGTTAGAATCTTTTGGCTTGGATTGTTCTTGGATGGAACCAGAGATTGAACCTTTAGTTGGGAAAGGCGGGCTCCCTGATGATGGTGAATGAGACCTACCCGGTGAGCTGTTTGATGGTGATAGAGAACTTGGAGATGGAATGATAGTTGGAGAACTTGGAGATGGAATGATAGTTGGAGAACTTGGAGATGGAATGATAGTTGGTGAGGAAGGAGATGGGCTACTAACTGGTGATGAAGGTCCCTCGGTGCGATTAGTTTCCAATAGTGGATTACCATCAGTAATGATCTTTACATCATTTCGAAATTTTGGAATTGGAGGCAGAAAATTGTTTCCGCTTAAATCCAACAACCTCAAGAATTTCAGTTGAGTTAAATTTGAGGGTATTGGACCACTTAGATTGTTTCCTCTGAGATGAATTTCCATCAGCGAATTTAAGTTTGCAATTGAAGAACTGATTGTACCATTAAGCCTAAGCTTCTGCAGATTTACAATTGAAACCTCACCTCTTGGATTGCAGCTCAATCCCAGCCATGGTTCTTTACATGGATCATTACCAGTCCATAAAGTAGCAAGATTTAACGGGTAATTCATACTGCGAAGGAAATCTAAAAGTGCATTAACTTCAGGAGCACATTGGAGTCCGGGAATCGGTTGACAAAATGAATTTGAAGAGTAAGTAACATTACCAGCTTTAAACTTTGGGATCGGACCCATCAGCATATTATTGTTCAAATTCAGCAAGTCCAGGTTCATACTTGCCAAGCTCAGTGGAATCGGACCAACAAGTTGGTTTCCATTGAGGTTGAGCTCTCTCAAAGAAATCAGAGCTCCAATGTCATCTGGAATTGTCCCCGTAAATCGATTCCCATGAAGCCATACCTGGTTCAGTAATACCATTGACCCAATCACATCAATTGGACCAGTCATTCCATCTCCATCCTGATCATTCAACCACAAAATCTGCAACATCGAATCACGGAAACTGACAGGTATCCCACCGGATAACCTGTTGTAGGAAAGTCTCAATGAAGTGAGAGACGGCAATTTCCCAAAAAAATCAGGTACTGGTCCAACCACATTGCAACTTGAACAAGAAAAGTTTGCTAACTGAACTGAATCCTGCAAGTCATTAGGTATAGACCATCCGGTAGTTACATTAAACGGATTGTCATCCAAAGCAAGGACGCGAACACTGCTAAGTCCACGAAAGAAATCCGACGGAATGGTATCGAATTGGTTGAAATCCAAGTACGCAAATTGCAATTCTGACAACCCATTGAAAGTGGGTAATTTTCCTCTAAACTCATTCTTCTGAAGACCTAAATTTTGGAGCTCTGTGAGCTGGTTCAAGTTCTGAGGGAGGAGTCCCTTTAAACCCAAACCCTGAACCTGAATCTGTGTGACTCTACCTCTAGAACAGAACACATGAGGCCATGATGGAGGACCACAAGGGTCATTTCCACTGGCAGGCCATTTTAGGAGCTCTGGGTTTTCCAACCCATCTCTGAAATCATCCAGAACTTTGAAATCATTAGGGTTTGTGGTACTAAAAGCCACTGCAATGAGGCAGAAAGCTATTGCAATGTATAGCTTTCTCTCATTGCAATCCATGGCTAAACTCAGAGCCTTTCACATTATAAGATCACCATACAACCCAATTCTTGTTCATAACACAAACCCAGATGACAGAAACATAGAACATGTGATCAAAAACCCAAAAAATACAAAGCAAAGCAAAATTGAACTAACCTCAGAGGAGCAACATTGTGTGTTGGACAACCCCAAATGGCGCCAAACAGGAGGTTTTGAAGGAAAATGTTGTAGACCCAGATGAGGAAAATGGGGTTATATGAGATGAGATGGAAAGAGAATTGGGCAGATCTTCTCTTGCTTTAGGGTTTTAGTATTCATTGCTCTGGATCATACCGCAAGGATGAGTCCCACTTCATCCCTGTTAACACTTGTATTCACTGCTTGCTTTTTTTCTCGAATTTTGTTTTATATTTTGTTTAAATTACAAATGTCTCCCTAAATTTTAATTAAATATGCCTTTTTCTTTTTTCTTTTTTTTTTTTCAAAAAGAAAAATACACTAATATACAAAAAGTGAAGTGCCAAGCCGTCAAAAAAAAATTTACTCTAATATCCGCTGTCGGTCCAAAAATTTACACTAATATCCGCTTTGGATTCTAGCTATGGCCAAAGCCTAACACGAAGAAAGATCATTTACATTTATACGAATAAATTCATTTTATTAAAAAAAGAAAAAATATTGTAAACGATTCAATAAAAATATTTGTATGCATAAATTTTTTTAGGTTCATCATTTTAAATGCATTAAAAAGAGATAAATTTTAGAGAATGGTGGTTGTCGGTGACGAATTTGCTTTGGCTTATTTTCGTAATTTATTCTCCTATATAATTTTTGTTAATATCAGTACTTTCAAATTTAAAATACCTATTTTTATGTAGTAAATTTTTTTTCTATTTTTAAATTTGATGAACAAAATAGTAAAATTGCATAGTCCATTCGCTTAGTGTCAAAATATTTCAAAAAGAATATTATTAGTATCCTCTATCCCATATTAGTATTATATATTTCCTTTTTAGAATGTCCCAATTAACTATCTCATTAAAAATTCAAAATAATAATAATAATAAATAATATTATCTTTCTATCATTATTCTATATTTTTTCAAAAAATTTAATTTGATAATATCTACATATATATAAATTAAAAAAAATTAAAAAATTAAAAACGAAATAATACATTAATTACACATTCTCTTAATAAATTTCAATACTAAAAAGATGGACATTAATAATGTATTAAATCTATATTTTAAAATTTTTTTCTCCTGGCTTTGGAATGTAATTATGGTTTTGACCCGCCTGCTTCGTTTATTTATGGGTCATGTTTGGTAATGAATTAAGTGGGTCCTACTGAGATCCACCCATTCAAACGGCGCTTATTGAGGGACAAATGCTCTTTTATCATAATAATAATAATAACTATACAAATGGTGTCGGCTACAGATGTCATATTCCCAAGTGTTCACAATTATACAACCACGCCATGCGCATCAAGACACGGCTTGCTTAAATCATTTTCTACACGTCTTAAGCTTTTACGAGGCACATAAAAACTTAGGTGAAGACTCACCCCTCACATTTTACTTTGAGCCATCTTTAAAAAAATTTTTTTAGACAATTACCCGGTGCACGTGAAAGGGAAAAATTGCTTGTGTCCGATGATAAAGTATGAAGTGCTTTAAGAAACTCGACACCATTATCATTAATCAAAAAAATTGTAATTTTTGCTAACAAAAATATAGTAATTTTTCCATTTCTTGCTTTTCCCATAATTTTAGATTTATAATTCTACCTGTTTGTTGCATTTGGAAGGAAACAAATGTTAGAATATTTGTTCTAATTTTTAAATTTTCTTGCATGTCAATACTTGTTCAATATTTTATACTTTGTAATTTATTAACTTTCTTTTACATAGATTGTTAGCACAATACATTCACCATCTATTAAGTTATAAAAAATAATTAATGTTTTTATATTTCCTTAACTTTATTGTAAATTAAGTAGAGAATAATTTTTAAATTATTAGTATAGTATTAATATAATCAATGTGAGAAGGCTAATGAGGCACAACATAAGTATATACTCACACTCACACTGCGAGATATAATTATACATCAAACATCACACAACACAATATTTTGTGTTTTCACCCAACCTCAAGGGCTAGTTCATAGAGAGAGTTTTCACTATTATTAATCAAGAAAGTGATATTAAAAGTAGAAAATGCACTCAACCCAACCAACCTCATTGGCTCTTTTTTGGGTCAGATCTACCAGTTCTGGATTTGTGGTAAAGAGTAAACCCACTTCTTATGAGGTTGCATCTCTTTACACTCACCGTTCTCTTCTCTCCTCACTGACCTACTGAGTAGGAGTGCACATGGTCCAATTTGGATTGAATTGAGAGTATTTTGGGACCAAACCATTTATAACGGTTCCACTACTTTTCAAACCAGACTGAACCATAATGTTCATGGAGCCAAACCAAACCAAACCAAACCGCGAAAAACCGATTTGGTTCAGTTCGGTTTGTCTTCAGTTGATTTTCTTTTTATTTTATTTTATTTTAATTTAGAGGGGGAAAAGTTTTTTTTTTAAAAAAAAATCAACTAACATTGATATAACACGCAAAAAAAAAAAAAAAAAAAGAAAAAAGAAAAAAAAAATTAAGAAGAAATAAAGGAAAGAAAATTGAGATATATTTAAAAGGAAAGAAAATTAAGATATATTTGAATAGGGAAATTTGACTTTTTTAAAAAGAAATTTAAAGAATAAAAGAAAGAAATGGGACACATGAGAGGATACGATATACATATATAAATATATATAGATCTATTATATAACATAGTAACGGTTCGATCCGGATTGGTTCGATCCAGCATGACTCTAAATCAGGACCAGACTGAAAAATTACGGTTCCATAATTTTAGGTCCAGGACCAGACCAAACCGCCCAATTTAGTACGATCCGGTCTGGTTTTTCGGTTTACCGAATTTTTTGACGTTTTTCTCCTTCTACCTTTTCCACCCAACTCCTGGTGGCGATGGGGGTGGCACTAGTGGTGGAGATGGCGGCAATAATGGTGGAGATGGCGGTGGTAGTGTAGTGCTGGAAGGTGGCGAAGTGGTGGAAGGGACGATGGTGGTGGTAGTGGAAGGTAGTGGAGGTGGGGTGGTGGAAGTTGGTGGCGGTGGAGGTGGCAGCAGCGATAGTGGTGGAGGTGACGATAGTGGTGGTGGCGGAAGGCAGTAGAGGTGACAGCGGTGGTAAAAGGTAGTGGTGGTGGTGGAAGTATGTGGCGGTGGTAGCGGAAGGTAGGGGTGGTGGTGGTGGAAGGAAGTGGTGGTGGGACAGCGATGGTAGTGTTTTTTGACTTAGAATATGAGGATTTTTTGGAAACTTGATTTTTATTTTTATTTTTATAACATTACTTGAGAATGAAATGATCATTTCATAGGTTTAGTTGTGAAATGAATTTTCATTCTCAAGAATAGATTTTTATTTCAATTGAATGATCATTTTCACTTTAAAATGCATACCAAACAAATGAATAATTGCAACGAACGTTCGGTTCCATTCTTAAGCACAAAGCACAATATAAGAGTTTTAGTAACATGAGACATTTCTATCGAGGCCTGAAAGTTTCCAACGATAGTGATGTGTGTTTTGGATAACAGAATTATTCCATAAGCTCCTAATAACTAAGAAAATGGACGGTGGGTAACAAAAGAGAATTTTAGTTGCCAATAATTAACTACATGCAACAATAATAACAACCAAGTCCTTTTTTATAACTATTTGAAGTTGGCTACGTAAATTTTATATTTTTATATTTTTTATATTTAAGACCATAATCTCACTCAATGAGTCATATTGCAAGATTCTATAGACAAAAATGATTAAATAGTGCTTAATACTTGAAACAAATATATTAGCAATTCAGTTTGAACTTATATAAATATAAAAAATGTCAACAGGGTAAGCTATATATTTAATGATTAATGAAAAATATATTAATTGGTTTTTATAAATATAGAGAAAACCTTATAACATTGTACCTAAAGATACAATATCATTTAATGGAGTTGTGGCTATAGTACAAATGAATGTAAACAAGCCAATTATTAATTTCTATAATTATTTTTCTTTACCGAGCTCCTACAATATATTTTGGGGAGACTCGAACCTCTCTATTTTTTAGTTTGAAATGAAAGGAGATATCATTGATCACCAGCCTTGTTCTATAGTTAAATATTAAACTCTTAACTTTTTGTATAAATCATGCCCGACTCGACAAAATGCAACCTAGAGAGTGTTATACAATGTAAACTATTTATTAACGATATTATTTCAATTTATCAAACTAAAGGAGATAGAGAGTTTGATCTTATTTATTTGATTTTATTTTTTTTTGGGTTTAGGCAAAGTAAAAAGGTGGGATCAAAACCTAAGTCACATAAAAATGGGAGCGGGAGCTGGAGCGAGAGAATTTGAGACCGGCAAAATTAAATTATAAGTAGTGAGAATTTGAGCGAGAGCGTATGCGGAGTGTGAGAGTACTCAGAGCGTGAGATTGACACCTATTGAAAATAATTGTGTGAGTTAAATTTAGACTAACAATTTTGCAAATTAGGGAGGACATCTTGTAAAAATTTACAAAATATGTATCTATAAAGTAAAGGTCAAAAAAAGTTGGGTGGGGCAGCTGCCCTCACTATTGTCTCCAAGAATTCTGAACCTTTTATGTGAAAGGAACATGAGATGTCATTTGAATCAGAAAGTGGTTGGTGGATGCATCTAAAACTCCAAAAAGGAAAGTAATAAGAAGGTGACCATTCAAAAAAAAAAAGTAATAAGAAGGTGAGGTAGGGTCACGTGCATCTCGCATGCTCTTATAATTCTTCACATGGAATATGGCACAGGAAGAGAGAGAGGTCAACTGTCAAGATTCCTCTTTTTACACAGAAGCCACAGTTTTTACAATGAAAAGAAAAAGGTGTAATCCAACAACATAATCAATCACTTTAACCCTAGAAGATTAACGGAATCTCATGTAACGACCCTTAACAAAAGTGCAATTTTCATCAAACACTTGTGAATGCCTTCCTAGTCATTGAGTTGGTTCCACTGTTTTTGGAGCCCTAGTTCGAACTTTTGCATTTTTAACCTCTAGTCATTCTTGCTCTCAAGAAAATAAAAAAATAAAAAAATAAATAATAATAATAATAATCTTCTAACACTTTGGTATTGTTTTATAAACGTATCAACAGAGTTGTGACCTAACGATATAAGACTCTTACTTCTCAAAAGGAGATTAGGGGTTCGAACTTCAATGTGTGTGAGTCCTTGTTAGGAAAAAAAAATTTCTTCTTCTTCATCGACATCTTTGTCTTTTGTCCTATATGAATTGTGTTTGTTTGGATCACATGAATTCTTTATTATTATTATAAATCATGTCTTACAATATTTAATTTTTTAATATCATTTTTAATTGGGTAAATTACACTTACCTTACTTAAAGTTTGGACAAATCTCACATGGATGAAGTATTTGAGGTTTATTACTCTGACCTCCCTTAAGATTATAAAAAGTCAATTATACCCTTATATGTAATATAATTTTATAATACAAAATATATTATAAAATCTAAAGAAATCAATTATTCTATCTCATCTCTCTTATTACTTTCTCTCTTCTCTCCACTACCGTTATCCTCTCGTAAAAAAAAAAATTGTAAATAAACTAAAAAATGAGTGTAAGGGCAACTTGGTCATTTTATGATTTTTTTTTTTTACAAGTTCCGATGGAGAGGGGGATTGTTGAGCATACAACCAAACTTCAAAGGAGGTCAAAGCAATAAATATTAAACGTTCTACGTGTGTGATATTTGCCCAAACCTCAAAGAAGATCCGTGTAATTTACCCTTTTTAATTACTTCAACCCATGTAAGTTTTGGCCTTTGATAACTAACAACGGTGGGAAAAAAAATTCAGCTTATTTACCCTTTTTAATTACTTCAACCCATGTAAGTTTTGGCCTTTGATAACCAACAACGGTGGGAAAAAAAATTCAGCTACGTTTTAAATTGGACAAATTTATCATGAAAGCAAATAATAAAATTGGGAATTTATTACTTAAAACTTCCAAAACACTTCAAATTCAAGTCTTAAAATTTTTTAAACTTAATTTCACCAAACAGTAAACGTACTTGTTCCAAACATGGCTCACCGTATTGTCCAATACACGACATATCGATCGATACGTTACCCTTTTTCAAGTCCGATACGCGACTTGTACCGGTCAATTTATACTGATTTTGTTCGAGTCCAATACACCGTGACTGATATCGCTCCCGTGACTATTACTGTGAACCATAATTCCAAATGGGTCCAGAATATGGTTATATATTAACTCTGGTTGTCATTCATAGACTGGAACATTTGCATTGATGTAGCAAGATGAGTAGTGCTTTTCACCGATTAAACAAAAACAGACTCATTCAGTCATTCAAACGAAAACAAATTCAGCTATGTTTTAAATTGGACAAATTTATCATGAAAATAAATAACAAAATTGGAAATTTATTACTTAAAACTTCCAACACTTAAAATTTAAGTATTAAAATTTTTTAAACTTAATTTCACCAAGCAGTAAATCTGTTCCAAATATGGTTCGCCGTATCGTCTGATATGTGACATATCGGTCAATATGCTATCCTTTTTCAAGTCCAATATACGACTTGTATCGGTCAGTTTACACTAATTTTGTTTAAATTCAGTACACCGTGACCAATACAGTTGTCGTTACCGTTACTGCGAACCATGGTTCCAAATGGGTCCAGATTATGGTTCTATATTAACCCTGGTTGTCTGTCCTAGACAGGAACGTTTGCATTGATGTAGCAAGATGAGTAGTGCTTTTCACCAATTAAACAAAAAAACAGACTCTTTCATTCATTGACAGCCCTAATCTACCAAACATTGAATTTTGTTATGAAAGCAACTACCCATCTGTCTAGACAAAGCAAGACAAAGAACTTAGAGAGAGAAAAAGAAAAGCAAATGTTTATCCAACAATATAGTTACTTTAAGAAACTTTAGAAGATTAACTAAATCTGATACTCACCCTAGGAATCTGATACTCACTCTAGGAAGACAATGGACTAAATCTTAACAAATCTAATCAGGTACTATCAAAAGCCATGCTTCATGGAATCCGCTAAATTTGTTGGGTATGGGTATCCTTCTATACGTAGGAACTATCAAATATATAATCAGAAGGACGTACGAACACGATTAAATATTTATTTTATTTTATAAATTAAAATGATTTTTTATCTAATATGGTGTCTAACACAGGCTTTTTACTTATTTTAAATTAATAGTATAATTGAATGATTGAATATATTTTTTAAGTACATGTTCAGTCAAAAGTTTCGGACTCCAGTACAGATCAAAAGTATAAAATTCATGCAATTACAATTAACTTTTTATATAATTTGATAGAAGAATACATGCTTCTACATTCCATGGAAATTAAGTAAGGTTTCTCTTATTGGTTTAAATGTTTTCATTTTTCTGGCCAAATAACACCTATAAAGCATAATATACCTTGTATCATATCTTGTAGAAATATTTTCTTTAAGTTGAAAGGTGTTCTATAATCATATCACATCTGAAAACATGTTCCTATTTTTTACTCTTCTCATTGGCGTAAGTTCTCTTAAAAATAAGTTGAGACCTAATAGATTTGATATAATAATAATCCGGTAATTAAAAATGCATTTACCATCCCAATTCCACACCCATACAATGCCCTAATTTATTTGTTCTCACCAGGGATGGAAAAATATCTCGTTCCGTTTAGAACGGCTATGGGGGTGGTTAAATGGTTTTGAGGCAAGAATTGGAGTTAGGGTTGAAAATCCGCTTAGTTATGGAGTGGGAATGGGAAAAAGTTTTCTCGCCCTATTTATAGTGATAAATTATAATTTTGTTCTTATACCTTATTTTATATTCAATAATATTAGATATATACTTAAGCAAATGCTAGGTTATTCTATTCCAATCACTATGCTCCGTTTGTTTGAACGTAAAATATCTTTTAAAAAATATTTTTATTTTTATTTTTATTTTCTGGTGTTTGGTTGTCGTAAAAATATTTACGAAGAAAAAAATATTAAAATTTAACAAAAAATAACTTATCTATTCATTTTCGGTAAGTTATTTTATATGTCTCGCCCGATGGACTCGACCTCAACCTCAACGTAAACCTTTGCCAAATACCGATAAAGTAAAAATAAAATAATATTTTACCTGAAAAAAAGAATATTTTACGTCGAAACAAACGGACCCTAAATATTCTTTTGTATTATTCTTATTTGATAAACTTTATGTATTATTTTAATGTTCTAACAATAATTTTAGTCTTAAGTTTCATTTGAGAAGTTGGATTTTGTTTTTATCTGCATAAAGAAAAATAATTATTATCATAGTTGAAAATTTGTTTTATTATTTACTTTCGTAAGATTCGTATTACAGTTATAAAAAGACTCGACAAAATCCACCCCTGCCCCACCTCATCCCTCCCCCATCCGGTTTAATAAACGGTTTTGGGGCGATGATGTGAGTAGTTATTCTAAATGGGAATGAAGAAGGTTGACAAGAGACCAGCAGTATGCCAGTACCAAAGCTACAGGGTCATGAAAGAAAATCCGAAACTGAGTCACTTGGATTACTTTGTTTCAATAAAAACACTATCAACATTCAAAATTCGTATAGGAGCTTTGGACTACATTTCAATAGGATCAACTGCTGGATAAAACTATCGAAACAAGGAAGAATTAATTCCAGCAATAAATAATATCTGATGCAGGCATAATTTCAATTTTAATTTGTGTTTTTCAGAAACTTTTCTTTTTTTCATCAGCTTTCCTTTTTTTAGTAGTTTTCGAATTTTAGTAGCTTTCGTGTTTTGGTTTTATTTTATATTTTGTAGTTAGCTAATATAACGCTGGAATTGGAAACAATTTTTTTTAATATAAAGCTGAATGAGCAAGAAATAAATTGCTCTCTATTAGGAAAGTTTATTTTTTACACTTCAATCGAATTTTTTTACATTTATATACTCTTCTATTTATAAAAGTCTCTACTTGCCCTAAGAATCATTTAGTCTTATCCAGTCCTCAAGACAATATGGGTTTCATCCCTCTTAAACGGACTGGATCTCTTCTTGGACCTCACCCTCAGTCAGAACAGGCCGTGAATGAGAGTCAGCGGGCTGGATGGTTGTTGGGCTTCCCTCTAGACTGATGGGCTGGGCTGGACTCGTCCCAGTGAAATTTTATACCCCTTCAAAAGCCTTATAATTTTTAGGGTTCAATCAGCCCAGTGAAATTTTATACCACTTCAAAAGCCTTATAATTTTTAGAGTTCAATCAATTTTAGTTGAAGAGAAGATTATTATAATTATAGCAAATAACAATTGCTTTACAATTCTTTGTAATTTCTCATTTTCTCTTGTATCGTACTTTGATTTCGTTTTACAATTGATGTGAAGACGATTTGACTGTCTCCTCTTGGTAAGGAGGCATCAATAACTCTCCAAAAAATATAATGTAAAGAAATTAAACATATAATATCAAATCAAGGCTTAGAGCCACATAATTGAAAAAAATTAAGTGACGGCATTATCTTCGAAATTTAACTAAGATCAGATTTAACAACTTGTATGTCCGTATATGTCCACAATACAAATCAAGTACCTCATTTTCAAACTTTGAAAATATCTTTACGTCACAAAACTAATGACCAACGGACCAAATTTATCCATATAATTACAGTTTTGTGAGCTAAGCTCCCAACTGAAACCGAAAAAAAAAAAAAAACATTCATCAATGTTTTTGCACTTATAGATATAACAAAATAATGAGTTTTTTTAACTTCAACTATCAAAAACATAATATCATAAAAGATAATCATATTATTAATTGTTCACACAGTTATCTGTCGAAATTTTACATCTCACTTAAAAAAGCAAATATAAACTCAACACAAGCTGTAAAAAAAAATAACTTCTGATTAAGCTCCATTTAAGAATGGTACTGTATCTTTCTGGTACTGTTTAATGGATTGAATAACTTGAATGGACAACGCCTCATCTTCCGGGTAATAAGCAATAGGGTCAGACAACGGAGGAAGTGGAAGGTTGAGCACACCTTCAAGTGTTGCATGCAGACAATAAGCTGAGTATGTGACATGGTATCCACCTTCTTGCACAACCAGGAGGCGTCCATCGCTGTGCTTATCAGCCAGACTACGAATGATCAGCCCAATCTCTCGGTAACCCTCCATTGTCAAGCATTGCCTTCCATTCGGATCAAACTAAGCATATGCAGCACAATCCTATAAGTAACTCCAATCTTTATGACCATAGAAATCAATGCATTTAGTGTTAAGGGCATAGAAATATCAAACTATAACTTATCAGCAAATATATATACACACATATATATCAAACTATAATTTTGAGTCTAGGCTACTCAAACTACAATTTTACTTAAACCAAGATTTCTAGTTAAGATATTCAAAAGCAGGTTATACAATCTTTAAGATGATCCACACACACATAGCCTCCATTGGACATTAATAACGTTGATTTCATCACTCTCAATAACTGTACCGTCTTTAATTGGATATACTTCTTCTGAACAAGAAGATTTATCAACTTTTTTAGAGCTTAATCAAATATTTGATCTGGATTTATTCATGTCAGTTGACAGTTTAAGAGAGGAGCCATTGCCATGTACTCTATACCTATCTTTTTCTAGCCATGTAGGTACAGAATAACAGAATGGAGGATATAATATGTGTTAGCTAGGTAGTTCAGAAGGGCTCATCAAGGTATTATCCATCCAAAGAGGGCAAAATGCAATTAAGTCAATGTACATCAATTGTGTAGAATTTGGTCCCTGATGATTCTCAATGTCAGCCAAAAAGGTAGAAATTGAAAAGATATATTAAAAAATAAATTGAAGCTTAAGAGAAAAAACAACGAATAAGGTGTTAATTGCCACTGATGTTGTCCAAGCATGGCTTGTGAGCATAAGTATAGGAATCTTCTTATGGTTACTGATGTGAAATCTTTCCTTTTGATGTGGGGACTCGAAAAGATCCAAAGAAGTGGCAAAGATGGGAATTGTAATCAGAAGAAAATGTTCGAAGTCCTCTCTTCAAACCTCAGTTCAAACATAAAAGTGCTTCCTGGAGTTTCAATAATGATCGAGATTGAAGGATCTTTGTAAAGAGTAGCATCATTGTGGTAGAGAACCTTTCATCAAAATTTGTCTGCATAATCAACACCTCTTCTGCAGAACTGTTGGTAAAGATACAACACACATGCGATGATTGGTCACATAGATCTTCATGTTTCCATAAAACTTATCAACATTGAACCCCATGAGCTATAACGGAACTTTCTGACACTATCATAGAATCATTTTTGGGCCACAATACAAATAGTTTGTGCATCCTGCAACCATATTGAGTGTAACGAGGAAAAGAAAAAACCGAAAAACAAGAACAAGAAAATAAAAAAGAAAAGCTCAGGCAAAGTCAAGAACAAAGCTTGTCATGAAGTATCTCTACACCCATAGGCAAAGGTAAGAAAAGAGAGGTGCTACCACAAATAGTACTTATGAACTATGATAAGAACATCGTAAGAGAACTACTGCAGACCTCAAAAACCTCCTAACAACTGAACTCCTTATTTTCTAGGAGAAACCACCATCAAGTCTTGCATCAAAAAGTTCATTAACAATCAGACAGAAGACCAAATTTTAGCTGCCTAGAACAACAAACTGTGCAAAGAACTTCAGGTTAGCCCACTCTAAAGGAAGAGCTCAAAAGTTATTATTTTGTGGATTATAGGTCAATTCAACAAATAGTGGTACCACCTAGGTAAGAGATCCTTTCTTTTCCTCATCCACTATTAACATTCAGTTTCCATTCGGTGATATTCAGAAGCATCTTCACATTCCAACCCTATATCACATTCAGCACTCACCAAGAAAGGCCAAGGGTCTTCCTCAGTGCATCCAACACAATTTTGGTGTTCAACTTTCCTCCATCAACTAATAGCAAATTTAACAACACATTTATATCTATTGTTAACTCAACTGAAATAGCTTTATCCCCACTCTTTGTGACCAACAACAGTATCTTGTCTCGCCATTTTCATTCTTAAGATTCTAGTTCTTAATGAGTCTGAAAGAGGCCCCACACTTGAACTCAGCTGTCTAATGCAACACTCTCTTTTGCCAGATTAGGACCGCCATGCAAGGATTAAACACTAAGCACAACAAGAAGCATAGTTATCTAGTATATAATTCTTACTATCTTTTAAGGACTTACCCACCGAGGTTTCCTTTCTGGTAAGTTCTATCATTTCATTTATTTAAGGTTCAAGTTGAAAACTTTTTAACATGGTCATAGCGGAATAGCCCACACCCTACAAGTACTTTAATAATAATTCTAAATTTAATTACAAATATTAAAAGGAATCAGCAACATGATAAACTTACAGCACTTGAGTCTTGGCCGACAACCAAAACTATCATAGCAGGCTCAAATTTTTCAACAGCCGGGACAACCAACTCTGTCATGGCATACTCGTATCCCCTATCCCCAGTCCCATTTGGGAGAGGTATATTCAAATTATACCCAAGGCCATCCCCAGCACCAAGCTCAACAATAGTTCCTCTCTGTGGATGAGATGGACCCCACGAACCATGATTCATATGAAGGGAAATAGTGAGAACTTTATCAGAGTGGTAAAACCCCTCTGCAGTGCCATTTCCATAGTGAACATCTATGTCAACCACTGCAACTTTTTTACAACCAGAAGCCAAAGCCAATTGAATAGCAAGACCCGCATTGTTAAGAAAGCAATACCCGTCAGCTTGAGTAGGCTGAGCATGATGACCAGGTGGCCTAACCAACGCATAAGCAATTTTCCCATGCCCATCAAGTATATGCTTCATCGCCGATAACGTAGTGCCAGCAGCTAGAAGAGCAGCATCCCATGAGCCAGGATTCAAGAAAGTCCCAGCACAGAGCATCTTCCCCCCATTTCTATTTTCTTTGACAAGTTCATTCACATATTCTGAAAAATTATCAATTCCTTAAAATTATCAGCCTCAAAACCAGATCAGTTCCAAACATTCTTTTCAGAATAAAGGCTCTTTCTTAATGAATCATCAATATTCAACAATCCAATATCTCTCATGATCTCATTGTGAATTAGTTATCACATCTACTATTTCCGCTGCTTATGTCTGTTAAGAAAATAGTATCTAATACAAACTAAACATGTGTTTCATGTACCAACAGTCCTGTGGCCCAGCGGTACAAGGCTCCTACTTCCCAAAGAGAGGTCAGGGGTTCGAACCTCAGTGGAGGCAGTGTGTGTGAGTCCCAACTAGGAAAAAAAAAACATGTGTTTCATGTGTGTGTTGCATATTTATGACATATTTTATAAGCATTTATTTGGAAAGAAGAAGAAAGTTGTATAGTAGCTAATTATTAACACATTCTGTGGGGGGTTGGTATTAAAGAGCAAACCGGGTGCACGAGACCCACCATTGCGGGGTATGGAGAGGGTTAGATGTAGCCTTACCACCGCATGCAGAGAGACTGTTTCCTCATTTCGAACCCATGAGCTCTGGGAGGACTATGGAGCAACCTTACCATTGCACCAAAAATCGCCCTCAATCACTACCCATTATAGTCCACATCAATTGAGGGTGCTGGAGGGGAAAATTGAATACTGACATAACCGTTGTAAATTATTTGTACAAAGTGACTGACTCCTCTCATGAGTCAACCGGTGTTCACTGTTCTCACACGTTTTACAGGATGTTTTCTTCACATCAATGATCAGACACAAGCTTTGGGATTATTTGCACAAAGTGTCTCCTCTCCTCTCGGGAGTCAAACCCACATTCTCACGTTTGACACTGTACCAGGCAATGACCCCATATTCTTCTAAAAAATACTAAAAATTATCGTAAAACACTTCGACTTACATACAGTAAGATGTTTCCTTCACATCATTGTAGGTAACATATATTCGAATTTTCTTCTCATCATTCAGGTATGACATGACATTGGGGTAGTAAAAAAAACCAATTGAGTCAAATTTTCAAACAGGTATTGCTCAAGTAGTCTCAATTTTCATCCATGAAATAGACTATAGATAGTTCAGTGGTAACATATATTTGAAATTTCTTCTCATCATTCAGGTGTGATATGACATTGGAGTACTAACAAGAACCAATTAAGTGAAACTTTCAAATGGGTATTGCCTATATAGTTAACGGTAAGAACCAATTAAGTGAAATTTTCAAATGGGTATTGCTCAACTAGTCTCAATTCTCATCCATGAATTGCCTATAGATAGTTAACAGTAATGATGGAACAAGAAAAAAGAGATGGATGGTGGGTAGAGGGAGAGAGTGTACCTGGAGTGTGAAAAGTTAGGAGTTCAGAGATGAGAGCAGGTCTGCCCAAGTGCCATGAAATGAAGGTTGAGATAGGACCCCTTTTGAGGATTGAAACAATGTTCTTGACCCTGTCTGAGTTTTCTGGGTGCTTTTCCAGTACCTCAAGAAAACCCGGGTCCATTCCGGTGTCGAATACGCCGGTGCCGGCGTCATGGCCGAGCATCCCCTCGTGCCAGAATACGTGAACGAGATCTGCTGGAGCAGTATCAGGTTGAGCAGCCATGAAGGAAGGAATCACAAACAGTGAGGAGCTATCACGGATATTTCTAGGAAGAGCTGTATTGTGTGTCCCTGTCAGACACCGACGACAGTCCTAAACGCTTTATATTTTTAATCTTGAAAATAATATTAACATAAAAATTGACATATATTTATTCATTTAAAATAAAAATACATTATAATAAATGAGTAAAATACTATATATATATATATGATACATGTATATAAATAAAAATTTATATTTATATATAATCGTGTTCAAATAGTATTTGTCTTACTATTTTAAAATTTAACGTACTTGTGTTCATGTCTGAATTCATGCTGTATAAATATGGAGTATCTTATTTTTTTATTTATTACATAAATGATCAATTAAACAAAGTACGTTTAACAATTCACTACAACTATCGGTGCAAAAAATCATATTCCCCTGAAGAATCTAACTCAACTCGTTTCCTAGTTATTTTATTTTTTTTCCAGTGTTATATTTTAGGGTAATTTATATTGGCTTGGCATATTGGATAGTCGATTATGTGTTTATTACTTTGACTTTTTTTAAGATTAGGTATACATGCTCAAAGACACTTCTAACATTTTTTTCGTCAACCAAATTTTTAAAAATAATAATTAAAATGCATATAATATATTATTATAATTAAATGATATTACTGACTTTCTACACTTAAAAGTTATTTTTCAGCCATACGAGTTTAAAAAACCGTCTGTCCACACCTGAAGTTAGTATAATTTACCCTATATTTTATCCAACATCATCATGTAATGCAATTTTAAGTTCATTGGGCTTAAATTGACAGTGTAACCCTTCAATTTCATTAATATAATAATTTTATAGTAATAATTATGTAAAATGTGTTGAATTCTCAATTCCGTAAAATATATGCATATTATGACATAAACTTACTATAAACTATATATATTTGCATATATATAAACTATAAACTATATATATTTGCATATATATAAATTTACCCTATATATATTTGCATATTATGTATTTTATAGTAATTTTATAGTAATAAATATAATTTTATTAATTATATTTTGCTTTGCATATATGTATTTAATAATTATGCAGGGGTGGAGTGAGGATTTTATTTAAGAGGGGGTACAATGTAGATATTGAAAAAAAAAATCAAAAAATATGACAAATATAATTTTTTTAAATTAAAAGTTAAACAAGAAAAAAATAATTGCAAAATAATATGTTAAATAAATATTGTAAAAAAATATATATAGTTACAAATAAAAGAATCAAAATATAATTAATAATATTTTAATTAAATACAATCACAAATGTATAAAAAGAAAGAAGTGGAAAAAATGAAAAAATACATAATTATACATAAGTGAAAAAAAAAAAAAAACAAAAAATATATGGCGTGGTTGAAGAAGGGGGATATATGTAAATTTTTTTTTTCAAAAACAAATTAAAAGAATTTAAAATTTTTAAGAGGAGTACTATTTAAAATTACCATATAAATATATGTATATAGCATATTATGTAATGTATTAATGTATTACAGTATATTGTGATGTAAGCTTTTGTGAAAAAAATACATATATGCAAAGCTGTTGCACGATTAATTTAATAGTGCATTGAATGGCATGTGATGCAATGAGGCTTGTTCCAAACAGCATAACAATTAAAATTTAAGCAATAAATAGCAAAAATAATGCCTTTTTTTTTTTTTTTTAATAATTATATGTGAATTACAAAATACACCGTAAATCTTTACCAGATTTATCTAACAATTCTTCAAACTAAATTGTTTTGGAAAGAATTGTTTTTGATTTTTTTTTTTAATATTTTGAAAACATTGTATGACTGTTGAAGAATAAAAAGTCAACAATTACAATATTTAAAAAAAAAAAAAAAAAAAAAAAAACCTTCGGAGAATTGTTTTTGAATTTATTTTAATATTTTTTATTTGAATTTATTTTAATATTTTTTAGAACGACAGTTGAAGTATAATAAGTCCACAATTACAGTCTTTAAATAAATAAATAAATAAAAGAGTCAACAGGCTACAATTCTGGGAGTAGCCGTAGAGAGAGTGGAATGAGAGAACAATGGTCGTGAATGTGAAGGCAAATTTAACCTGTCTATTTGAGTCGGGAACGTCATCCATATCTCCATCACTATTTTAGTATAGCTATCTCCATTCCTATTCCAAAATTATTTATTAAACGAAAAGGGGTGGAGACAAGTTTTGTAAAGTACTTTATAATTATATTATGAATTTAATGAAATTAAATAATGAAATAAATTTTCGACTATGGTAATAATTATCTTTCTCTTATGAAAATAAAAACTATATTTAACTTCTCATTTGGAACTTTAAACTTAATATTGTTGTGGGAACATCAAAATAATATTTAGAAATTTTGAAATAAAAATAAATAAAAATAATATTTAGTAATTTGATTAGAATAAACTAGGATTTTCTTAATATTTACATCATATTACTGAATATAAAACAAAGTATAAGAACAAAATTGTAATTTATTACCATAAATGGGGCGAGACGAGATAACCTTTCCCCATTCCCGCTTGATAACCCGTGTGAATTTTCAATCCTAATCCTTGTCTTCATCCCAAAACCATTTAACCATCCTCATAATCGTTCTAAACGAGGTTGGGTGGGGCGGTTATGGGTATTTTACCATCCCCATCCCAGTGCAACTGTCCAAATTTTCATATTAATTGGTTCATTTTCTTTTTGAGTGACCATGGATTTTATAAACTCATTCTGAGATATGGCAAAAATCCTCACCCCGGCAGGGCCCCGCCCCGTTTGGGGGAATGGGAACTGCTTTGAAAAATCCGGTAGGTTTTGGGTGGTTTTGGACAAGGTTTGTTCCGCTTCGAATATACTATAAATTTATTAAATTATCCTTATATACTATGATATATTACTAAAATAGGTTAAGTGTACACACACAGGGGTGGAGGCTGGGGAACATGCCTCCTGGCCTGCCCCGCCCTATATATATAATTTTTATTTTATTTTTTACACATATATAGAAATTAGTATATATGTCCCCTAAAATTATTAGTTTCCAATTGTTTTTTAAAACTTTTTCTATTTCTTCTCATTTACTCTTAGATTTCTTTAATTACCTTTTTAAAAAGTCAAATTTCTCTTATTTAATTATGCTATAATTTATTTCCTTCAAAATTCATTTTTCTTTCCCTTCTTCTTCTTCTTCTTATTTTTTTAAAAGAATTCCCACGATGGCCCACCCTTAAATCTTAAATTCAAATCCTTGCTCCGCCTCAGTACACACACAGAAGGAAAACCTAGTCCTCATTTTTTTTCATGTGACAAGTCTTGTGAAAAAAAAAAAAAAAAAAAAAAAAAAAAGAGCCTAACTGCTCCACCCTACTCAAACCACACGAGAGTATCTAGCACTTGCTTTGGCCTTACAAATTACAATAATAATTCGAGAACCTTTAATTCTCTGGCATTTTATCAATGTTGGTTTTTCAGTGTTCTTTGGGCAAACTGTTCATGTTTTATTTAATGAAATATATATATATATAGCTGTTTCAGAACTATTTCTGAATTGTATTATGAATTCTGACATTTTATTCAATTGCTATCTTCTGAAATTTCAGAATAAACCAGCACTAAGATTGAAACTTGAAAAAGTAATCAAATTCATAGGGAGAGGATTTTCAAAGTAGTTTGCCCTAGTTATACGCAATTCATATAATTTTTCCCATTTTATTTTTTCATGGACCATCTAGCCCACCCATAAGATGTTTCAACTGATTCACAAGGGTGAGCCCAATGTGAGGTTTAAATGGGCTGATTTAATGGATATCACACCTGACTACTGGTTTGTCCATTTTTATTGTTGGGCCATTTATCCTGATTCATTTAAAAAAATTTGGAACACTCCCAACAAGCAATGCAAAAAAAAAAAAAAAAATTGCTAATAGCAGCAATTTTCATTTAAGGAAGAGAATTTATTGAAATCCAAACATAGGATTTTATTCCAAGTTCAGAAATGAACTGTCAACATCACCTTAGTAACCATGGAAAATGAATGAAATAAATGTACGTAGTACTAAGCATCATAGTAAGGAAAATAAATAGTGGTCAAGAACCAAAGTTAACTAACACATAATCTACCACCACCACCTCACATCACTGTGCAAGCATTAGGGTTCTCATCACTGAACATGCCACCCTGATAGTAATGCGGCGGTGGCGGCGGCAGTTCTGCTGAGTAATAATAGTCAGGCTGCGGCGGCGGCAGTGCTCGTCGAGGACCATAACTTGATGGTGGTGGCATCAAGCTAGGAATTGGCGGCGGTCCTTGCAGCATGTACCTAGGCGGCGGTGGCGGCGGCCCATATGGCCCTCTATTATATTCAGGGAAGTCCATTCCATAGTACCCGCCACCATGACCATGCATATAATTGTCATTGTAAGGGTCATTGAAATTCATCCTTAAACACCTGGAGTGGATTAGGTCTATACTGTTGAGACCTCTGATGCGTGCCATATGCTCAATTTGGGCCATATGGTGTGGCCCAATTCCTGGTGGTCCTGGTGGTGGGCCTGGTGGACCTGGTGGCGGGCCATCACCTGGTGGTGGGCCTGGCGGGGCTGGCGGTGGATCTGGCTTTTCTTCCTTCACAAAACATAATTCAAATTGCATAAGTATTTTCACAACACAATAATATATAATTGTAAAGGAAATAATAATAATAACAAAGATATAAGAACGTTTTGTGTCTTCAACCAACTTCATACTATTTATTCAAAAAAGATCAACCCAAAAGAAAGATAAATTAAAAAAACCTCAAAATTAAATAGAAGATGTAATTAACTAAAAGAATTATATTAACGAAATGATGAGAAATCTGTAGTTTTGATCTTGAAATTCTGTTAGTAACTACTGATTGGTGATACTTTTTTTGAGGAAAAAAAAAATCTAAACAAGTACAATCAATAAAAACACAATATTGTGGGTGCAAAATAAATTATAAAAAATTTGAAATAAAAGTTGCCATGAAATGCTTATAATATGACAAAGGCAATGATATTACCCCAAAAAGAAAAAAAAAAGGGTATATGCTAATGTTACCAGTGTTTTTCTCCTTTTTGTGTGTGTGAAGATGATAGAAATACTTCATATATATATATATATATATATATATATATATATATATATAGCCGAAGAATGTAAGAACTACGTGCAGCGTTACCATTAAAATTATATACCGTTGTGAAATAAAATTATGTATAGATCACTTTTAAAACAATATAAAATATGATATATAGAACATTAACACTAAAGTTATACAAATCTCTTTGTTCGGTTTGAACAGAAAACCAAAGTTATACCCCTTTGTGAAATCAAAGGATATATAGAGATCATCGATCTTTGAAACAATATAGAAGATGATACACACACACACACACACACACATACCTTGGGAGGAGGAGGAGGAGGAGGAAGCATCACCGAGTAATCCATTGAAGAGAACGAACTTGAAAACACAGACAACTTTTGTCTAATGGGAGGGATTGATAAATAACCTTTTTGTGGTTATGGGACCATTTATATATATATATATATATATATATGTTAAAACAGTAATTTAAATTTGGAAACCAAATCTTCCATTAGTTGTTAGATCTTTTGATTTAATCTCTTTTATATTGATAAATTAAAATATTTAGACATATTTTACCAGCCTTTTTTACTATTTAACTCAAAATGTAAATTGACTATTAACCAATATTTTAAAAGTTCGTCACTACAATCCAATACGAAGATCCTTTATTTTTATTATTTTATTTTATTTCGGAAAGCATATGTGTGTGCATGTGTATGTGAATAAATAAAAATTCAAGTAGGAATAATAAAACTGATTACTTGTAAAGCTTATTTGTTCTAAAAATAATTCCTACTTTAAATTCATTTATTTGCATATATAGATTTATAGAAAATCCCCAACCTAAATTTCCGCTACAAGACTTCCTTAAATCATCCATCACCTCTCTCTTTCCTTCTGGAGCAGCCTTCACTCTCTCTCTTTTTCCTTCCTTTCTCTGAGGCTTTTACCAAAAATGTTATATATATATATATATATATATATATATATATATATATACACATTTACCTTTTGTAAAAAAATGAGAGGAATCCCACTTACCACTTAGATAATCATATACTACATGAATTTTCTTTCATAAACTAGAAGGTCAAGTAGTTAATTTTGTTTTTTAACTCCACAAGTGGAATTATTAAAAGAAAAGTGAAGTGAATGAAAAAAAAAAATTGATTTTCTAGTATGCATTTGGTTAAGATAAAAATTTCTTAAAGAAAATTGTAGGAAAATATCATATTATAGTTTGGATAATTAAATTACCCTTATTTTATAAAATAATAAAATAATAAAGAATTAGTAATAAAATATATTTAAAAAATAATAAAGTTTTCAATTAATTTAGACCTTTTGAAGTACTATTATTCATATATGAAAAAAAACAACTATGAATGGAAGTCAAGTTGATTAAAAATAAAGTCTAAATTAAAAAATTGATGTTATTTCCAAATATAAAATGAAGTTATTGGGTAAAATAAAATTAATGAAATTGTTAGGTCAAATAGGAACACTAAATAAAAAGACATGCTTTCATGGGAAAATAAAATTTCTCCAGAATCCTAATTTTCTACCACTTTTCCTTTTCTATGTAACCAAATTATAAAAAAGTTTTAAAATTTTCTATTTCTTTTCTTTTCCATTTGATTTTATCTGACCAAATGAAGCCTTATCATTATTAATTAACATAATGAAAAGATGCAAGTTATGTCAAGTAAATGTCATTCATTTAATTTAGGTAATAATTTCTATTAAAGTAATAATAAGAAAAAAATAATATGCTCCCCTGTAACCCTGTCTAATTAACTGATCGACTACACTATAATAATAATAATAATAATAATAATAATAATAATAAAAGTTACGGGTTCCCACAGCATACCATCCTAAAAAGAAATTTAAATCATACCTACCTGATTTCTCAGCACGATTAGGTCCTTCGGGAATGTGTAATTAATGTCCACTAATACTCTTTAATGAAATTGGATTTAAATAATTATTTTTTTTACTTATTGGATTTAATTCAAGTGTAAAAAATGTTAAGAAATACGCTACAGAATACATATATATCTAAATACGCTACAAAAGTCATAAGGGTTTTAACGAGACTTTATTAAAAAAAAAAAAAAATTATATCTTTTAAAAAAAAAAAATATTAAGAAATTAGAAAGAAAATTTACAAATTTATAATAGAATAAATATAGATATAAATATATAATGTGAATTGGGATTTTTATCATTAACTAATTATAGAATTCGAATTGGTTACTCAATTCATATTTGATTGATTGGATTCAAATTGTCCTAGCTTAATTTACCTTTAGCTGTTTGGAAATTTTAAATATCAATATTTGCAATCTGGTCCTAACTATAAGGATATAAATCTTTTACTTATTATTGCTCCTCTTGTAACTTAAAGTATGAAACCTTTAAAATGAACTTAAAACCTAAAGAAAGTACTGGGTGCTGATACTGTAATTGAAAATTTTGAATGCTATTAGAATTTGAGGCTTTTTGCCATTTGTGTGTCTCGTACAAACATTTGTATGACTCACCTATTTATACTATTCAATGAATTCTTCTAGTACGTGAATTTAATACATACAATGAACCAAAATATTTGATATAAATCAAAATGTTTCATGTACTAGCAATTATTATGAGATTTTTTGCACCATCCCAAGTACTGCTTAGTCTACGTAGATGAATCTAGACAAGTCTAGATTAATCTTCCAACAAAAGATGGCTGAGTAAGATAACTCATTTGTGTTTGATTGGTTGAAAATTTCATCAACCAGACATACGAACATTAGTAAATTTTCTCATATGTTGGTGTTCACATATTTGTATAGTAATAATCAATAGTAGAAGGAAATTTTTTAAAAAAATTATTAAATAGTAGCATTATAAATTATCCACCATGGATATAAGTTGGTCTCTCGAGAACCATCAATTATCATTGAGGTTAAATATTAATACTAGAGGGTCATGTGCAGTCGCTTTGAAGTTGCGAACGATATGGTCCCATTTTATGGTCTTATACTTGGATTTATGATTTATTTAGATACAATTCAAAATGCACGTGAGTTACTAATTATATTTGAAATGTCATCTACTTTTGTGCAATCATTTAGATTTTTGATATGGATTTGTGCAATCATTGAGATTAATTGATATTGTTGCTTTTAATCACAAGCCACATTTTTTTCTTTGCAATATTATTTATTACCATCTCTTCATTATCATTTTCTCAATATTTGCTTTTGTAAATGGACAACTATACGTCCCTTCAATTTCTCTATAGGAAGTTTTCGTATTTGTTTTTTTGTTTGTCTTAGACCCCTATCCATGCACTAATTTATATTTGTTGTTATTGCAATTGGCCTTACAAAAAACACTCTGAAATTTGTGGGTGTTTTTGCCACAAAAACACTATTTGATAAGGTGGGCTACATATGTTCTGATTTGTTTGTCTACTATATTGTGCAAGCATCTCAAGAAATGTTCAACCTGTGGGTAAGCTGTTACTTTATCAAATTTCATTATTTGAGATACCTGCCCTTGTCATGGTCTATTTATCCATTCCCCCCCTGTATTTTGTTGTATTTATAGCTGTCTTTGCTGTCCTTGTCAAATTATTAGTTTGTCATTGATGGGTCACAATATGTGTGATCTTAGGATAAATTATTATATGGTTCCGCTAATCACAACTCGACTCGCAAGCAAAAATTTAAATAAAATTGGTCCTATACAATCATAACTTGACACGCAAATAAAAATCTGAATAAAGTTAACACATTTGTTTGCGTGTCGAGTTGTGATTGTCCAGGACAAACGAGTGCAGTTCTGGACAATCAGAACTCGACACAAGCAAAAATTTGAATAAAATTGACCCATTTACTTGCGTGTTGAGTTGTGATTGTCCAGGGCAAGTGAATTGTGATTGTCCGGGATTATATGGTCTTGGACAATCACAACTCAACACGTAAGCAAAAAATTTGAATAAAGTCAACGAATTTACTTGCATGTCGAGTTGTGATTTAAAAATTTCTCCATAAAAAAATGTTACTATTTTTTTTTATTGTATTTTTTTATTAGTGTACACCTTCTAATTCTTTGTGTGACAACATTGGAATGCAGGTCAATTTTTGGTCAGGCCCAGACAAATAATATTCCCTCAACCTGAAACCAGAAGAGAGAGACTCCATATACGTATAATCTTCCTGTCCTAACAAGTTTTTGTAGTTGACTAAAGAATTTTTTGCTGGTGCTTCTTTCATTCATCTGCAAATGTGCCCTAATTGCTGAGATTGTTCTGGTTAAATAGAAATGATTAATGGCTAAATTTTCCTGCACTACCAATGTGATAGGAGTTTCTTGCCCCATGCTTAAATTTGACTCCAATCTAACCTCAATAACACCTACGCATTAACATAACCTTTCAAAAAAAAAAAAGAAAAAAGAAAAAAAGAAAATGATATTCAGGTCTAGTGGCCTACTTGTCAAACTGGAACAATTAAGTCTAATTACTCATGTCAAAATACACACACACACACACTAACGTCAACCATAAATCCATTTCATATAATTCTTGTGGCTGATTTTTTAAAACGGCTTTATTTCACTTGCTAACAAAATTTTCTTTCCTTTTTTTTAAATTTCAAATTAATTTAAGAATTATCATGACAAAATATAGTATTAATGAACATAATATGTATAAAGACACAACCTGAGAACTAAAGGCAGTGACAGAGCCTACAAAGAACTGCCATTTTTCAAGCTCCAACAACCTAAAGGCACACAACCTGAGAACTAAAGGCACTACTAACAGAGCCTACACAGAACTACCACCAACAATAAGATGGAACACTGCAACAAACATATCTGCAAAATACACAGCAAACAGTTGAAACTGAGGCAACCAGGAGCATTTGAGAAACTAACATACAAGTACGGCTGCAACAAAAAACCTACCAATGCTAACAACTATCTCAAAAAACCCTAGAAATACTTACTGGAAAAAGAAAAAAAAAAAAGCTGCAACAACCACCAACATACAGCCACAAGAAAACCTACTACAGAGGCAAACCGGCCAGAAGCGACTGAGAAGTCTAGAACATAACCACAAACCGAGCAACAACCAACAATCAAACATTAACCCACTCCAGCCCAGCCCCGGGAACGATGCAAGAGCTAGGGAGAGACCAAGAAGATGCAGTGGATCTAGCAATAGCTGAATCTCTGAACTTCAAAGTAGTTAATTTGCACTAACCACATCCTTGATGACTGCAATGATGGAGGACTGAGGAGAAAATTTTCCTGCAAAATTCTGAAATTCCTCTCTCCAAATGGCACACACAACAACCAGATACCGACCGGCATAAGTAGAAACTAATTAGCTTTATCAGAAAGAAAATGAATTGAACATGGAAGAAAATGGGTATGAGAAGCTTGGCACAACATGGTTCATTTGCATCCAAAGCTAAAAAGTAATAGAGAGAAAAGCAAAAAGAAAGGGGAAAGGGAGTATCTTTAACATTTGAAAGAAAGAAATGGAGAAGTTAAAGGGCAACAATGCATAAATTTTATCTCACCTTATCATTTTCACGAATTTTTATTTTACAAAGCAAAGATGAAACATGCAAGGAAGGCCATAGATTATTACTTTGCATTCCATATACTCATGACTAGCTTCTTGAATTCGTTAAGAAAAAATGACCTCCAATGAAGCATCTCCTAGAAATAAAAGTGCTAGAGAACAATGTGATATAAACCATAACTCAGCAATCACTAATCCTCACCCCTATAAACCGAAATAAGAGCAAGTCCCATGTCCCCTGTACACCAATATAAAGCCACTCATCAATTTCAAAGCACAAGTATGTGATAGGAGAAAGTATGAACTGAACATCTTTTAAACATGGATTGAAAATTTACTCTAGCTTAAATATAATATCGGCAATAAAAATTGACTGAACACCTACTAAATTTACTTTTAAAATTGAAGCCTTGACATTTTAAGTTCCAAACTTGAACTAATAAATTCCTCAAGACTCAGTCATGACTACAGAAGAATAACATATGGTCAGTAGCTTCACATCGATTTCAAAGCACAAGTAACTAATTAGAACTAATAAATTCCTCAAGACTCAGTCATGACTACAGAAGAATAACAGATGGTCAGTAGCTTCACATCGATTTCAAAGCACAAGTAACTAATTATATAAATTATGGACTGAAAATTAACTAAAACATGAACTGAAAATCTACAGTATTGACCATATATTATCAGCAATAAACATGCACGGATGAAATCCAGAAATTGTAACACTAGCAACACAGATTACTAGGAAAAATCTAACTAAAAATATATGCACTTTTAAAAATAATCAACAATCATTGATTGTTGAAATTAGCTTAAGAAGAAGAACTAAATGCAGATCTATAAAAATAAAAAGAAAAAAAAAAGAAAAAGAAAAAGAAAAGAAGAAGAACTAACTGCAATAGCTCTTCTCATAGAGGAGCTTGCGGATGGGGCAGGAGATGGGCTGGTGGTGGAGGAGATTAGGTTTGGGGAAGAAACGATTTTGATCTAGGGTTTGGGGAAGCCAAATTGTCTTCGTTTGGCTCAAATCATTTCTTCACCACCACCAATTATAGGCCAAAATGATTTTGATCCTATTGTTTGGATCGTTTCTTTAATCTAGGGTTTGTTCTCTTGAGGCTATTGAATCCTGAGGCAAAACCAAATTGTCTGGGTCATCTGGATCTTCTTGCTCCTGTCGTTAGGCACAAAAGCAAATAGGGTGCAATGATTTTATTTCCACTACAGTGTCCTTCTCTCCCGCATCCGCTGCAGTATTTCTTTAAACATAATGGATAAACGACTTTTTGGCGTTTACAAAATTGTGCCTTCCCCTACAGTACTGTTTTAAAAATGTATAAACTATTTATAAACAAAACAAAGATTATCGAACATGTTTTTCTTCCTGATTTGTTTAAATTAACAATAAATGATAAACATATATAGTTACCAAACAGGTCCTATATAAATGCGTAATTTATTGGACATTCATTTGTGTTACTAAACACAGCAGCAAAGGCCTGCCGGCCCTGCCAACTAATAAAGTGAAGAAAAACTAGGTCTTCCTAAGTACCAATGTTACAGAGAAGTGGTAGGAGGATCAAAAGATTATTTTAGAGTGACCATTTTAAAGGGGTTGCAGCTACATGAATAGTAAAAATACTTGGGGCATCTGGACATGTCAATCCATTTGTTTTGGCATTTAAAGGGAATTATCACAGGGAAAAATGATTCATCATCCAAACATGAAGTCACAACTAAAAAACACAAACTGAATAAATCAAAAAGTGCAGCGGTCAAGCAGTAGAGAAGCAGAGGGCAAAATGAATAATCGCAAGATCTTATTTTGTCAAAATAGATTAATCTAACCTCAATCAGAATAATATTAATCATCCAACCACTAAAATTAACTAGGGCCCATTGATGGTAAAGGCCCGGACTGATGAGCATGAGGTTGACTGTTCAAGCATGACAGCAATCATTTTGTATAAAATGATACAAAAGGTTAGATCCGTAGACAATCTCCTCTTCCGGCAGGCCGCGTAGACAGCGCATGCATTGCATAATGCAGATCCAACCTTAAAATTCTTCTGGCTAATTCATCTGGAATATTTTGACATGTTTCCACCAGTGGTACCAGTAAACTGACCTTATCCCTGCAAGTTTAATTCAGCAGAGGTGAGAAACAACCATCTCAGCTGAAAAATGAGGATTAGATTCAGTCATAAACAACAAAGAAGCATCATCACCATCTCCTCAGATTCAGTCATAAACAAGAAAGAAGAATCATCATTATCAGAAAAATGAGGTATCACTCTAAAATGATTAGGAAAAAACACTTTCTTTTTTTACTTTGGTTGATTGTTGTGTTGTTGTAGTTGGTGGTGGTGGTGGTGGTGGTGGTGGGGTGTGTGTGTGTGTGTGTGTGTGTGTGTCGGGGAGGGGGTGTAAGGGGGAATGGGATGGTATATGGAGAAAAATGGCAGAAAATTATGGTCCAAAGAAACAGATGTTACAGTAATATGATTAGTCCGTTTTATAAGACATGTAATTTTGTAATAGGCACCCGACAATTCTAGTCACAAAGCAAGTGTATCTAATTAGAAACATAATAGTGGAGGTCCAAACTATGCCGATTTTCCATTCACGTCCACCCAATCATCATCTGCCCCTGGCACGGTAAATGTCTGTTCTAAATTGTATTCCATGGTACTTGCAGTTTACTTACCGCCCCTGGCACGGTAAATGTCTGTTCTAAATTGTATTCCAAGGTACTTGCAGTTTACTTACCGCCCCTGGCACGGTAAATCTCTCTCTCTCTCGGTAAAAAGAGAAATCTCATATAGTTCTGTTCCACTTTTTTATTTTCTTTATTTTTTTTAAGGCACACTAAAAGATTACATCAAATTCCAGGAGAAAAAGCTAATTAGTAACACTACAAAAATAGAGAAGCTGCTGGAAAATGAACTTGCCTAGTTCATTCATTCTGAGACTTGGGGAATAATATTGGTGTGTTCCTTGTTGGCAATGATTAAAAAAATCCATGAGATGCTTTTCAGTAGGACTAGTCAGTCCAATAGGTTTCGTAACTTCTTGAGTGATTGAAGTGAAATGCTAAATGCATAGCTTTGTAATCACTACTTTTCTCCTTAAAAGTGTGTGAAGCTCATGGCTTTAAGTGTGAGACTTATAGAAAATGGCTTATAGAATGGGAGGGTATATGGAGAAAGATGGCAGAAAATATTTCCTCTCCTTAAACTGGTCCAAAGAAACAGATGTTACAGTAATCTGATTAGTCCATTTTATGAGACATGTAATTTTGTAATAGGCACCTGACCATTCTAGTCACAAAGCAAGTGTATCTAATTAAAAACATAATGGTAGAGGTCCAAACTTTTCTGATTTTCCATTCACGTCCACCCAATCATTGTCCGCCCCTGGCATGGTAAAAGTCTGTTCAAAATTGTATTCCACGGTACTTGCAGTTTACTTATTATCCCTCTCTCTCTCTCTCTCTCTCTTGGTAAAGAGAAACATCATATAGTTCAGTTCCACTTATTTTTTTTTTAAGGCACACTAGAAGATTATATCATATTCCAGGAGAGAAAGCTAATTAAGCAATTCGTAGAGAAGGAATTCTATTCAGGTGATGCTCATGACTATCAGTGTTCGTCAACTGCAGTTCTATGCTATCATGAGTACCTAAAGAAACTCAGTTAAAAACAGAATAATTGAAATGGAACACTACAAAAATAGAGAAGCTGCTGGAAAATGAACTTGCCTAGTTCATTCATTCTGAGATTTGGGGAATGTTTGTTAAAGGCGCTCCTAGGCTCAAAGCGCAAGTCAAGCGCCTGTTGTCATCCCAGGTGCACTGATGTTCACTAGGCGCACGCCTCAGTTGCCCCTCGTCCTATTTGTCAGGCGCGCCTCACTGTTTTTTTTTTTTTTAAATGATTATTCTATTTCTTAAGCCAAAAGGGTACTTTTGGCAACTTAATAAACAAATAAGAAAGCCTAAGCGTATGAGAGAAGGAACTTTTGTTCAAAAGAATAAACAAATAAGAAAGTCCAAGAGTCAAAGTGTCAATAGAACATAGAAAGAGTGAGACTGTGAGACGAACGACGTAGCCATGACAGTTCTTTCTTCTCCTCTACTCCTCTACTCCTCTCTTCTCATCTTGATTACTTCTCTCTCTCTGTCTAGTTCTCTTCTGTGTCTTTTTTTTGGGTGGGGGGGCTCTATTTTTTCTCCTTTTTCTTCTTTAACACTTTCTCTCTCTTCTCATTTACTTCTCTCTCTTCATCTACTTATTTTGTCTCTGCGTCTGTTTTGGCTCAAATTTTTTTTCCTTTTCTTGTTAACAGTTTTTTTCGTGTGCGCGCGCGCGCACTCTGTTTTGCCTTTCAAGAAAACAAATTTGTGCTCTGTTTTATGGTTCTTGAATGCTTATATAGTTGATGGATTTACCTTTTTATATATGATATTGATTTTTAGAATATTGATAGAGTTATGAGATATGAATGCTTTTATGGTAGTTTAAATTTTCAATTGTGCGCCTCACTTCACTCAGGCGCGCGCCTCGCCGTGCGCCTCATGCCTAGGCTCCAAAGGACCTCTAGCGCCTTGAGCCTTTAATAACATTGGGTGTGTTCTTTGTTGGCAATGATTAAAAAAATCCATGAGATGCTTTTCAGTAGGACTAGTCAGTGCTATAGGTTTCGTAACTTCTTGAGTGATTGCAGTGAAATGCTAAATGCATAGCTTTGTGATCACAACTTTTCTCCTTGAAGGACTTGGTGCTATCCCTGGTTGATGGCTCCTGCCACAAGATGATGGTGTTAGGAAATAGCGTCATCAAATTTTATGCTATTGTTGATGTTTGTCATGCACAACAAGAAGAATATTTGTATATCAGTCTATTGTCTTCATTAAAGGTGTGTGAGGCTCACGGCTTAAGTGTAAGACTTGTAAAAATGCCTTGGTGCTCAATCTCATAAGCCAATGCTTGTGACTCCTGCTAAATTAATGAGGAATCATTGGCTCTTTAATTTATTACCAAATATATGGTTTCTTTTATCTGACCATCAATGTTCACAACAGGTGTACTTCTCCAGACATCTATGGCTAAACGTGATTATTGTAGACAGAATCCCCCTACTTGTTTAAAAAGGAAACTAATCAGGAATACAAAGTTCAGCTTTGGAGACATTATAGAAGAAATATAGCAGTATAGCACCAGAAGTTTTGAAAAATACTCGTGAATCTTAAAATTTCCAGTAGAAGGAAAAGGATTAATTAGAAAAATGTAAGAGCAACAACTAAAGTTAGAGTATATCACATATAAATAAATAGCAATAGCATTACATCTAACCAGTCATATAACCTCATTGTTTTCCAGCAAGCATCATCCACATAACTTTTCATTTTTATGGTTTACTTTTTTATTTTTTTATTTATTTATTTTAATTTTTTTGGGTTTTTATTTTTTTTATTCACAGGGAACCAAAAAAATTAAACAGAACTTTGCCATCTTCTAGTGATCTAATAGGACTTTGTATTTAACTGGAAATCTTAGTCAATGAGACCATATATATATGATCTAGTGAAGATGATTGACTGAGGGCAAAAAAGAAAAGAAAGATCAACATGGGAGATTGCTGCATATGATAGCTTATGGTTCATCAGCTCTGGAGGAAGTGGCATATTTTCTGCCATCAAAGTTTCGCAAAATGACTTGATATGACATCAACTTCAACATGATCTGATGGGATCAAAATTGGCTTAATAACTTTTGTTAAGCCCTGTCTATGAGTCTTTCAAATATCTTCTCATTAAGCCCTGTCTATGAGTCTTTCAAATAACTCCTTATGCGATCCCATATTACACAAGACTTAACAAAAACCCACAAGCTAAATTAGAAGTTAACAGATAGACTAAGAGAAGTGCTTTTAGATAGAATATCATAAAATGTCATTGTCTTGATAGTGGAAGAACGGTGTGGGATGTATGCTTCTTGAGGCTGTTTCACGATTGGGATATGGAGGAGGCGATTGGCTTTCTGGAATTGATGTATCGTAAGGAGACAGTCGGGACTTCTGACTTTTGTGTGTGAACGCCATCTTCTCATGTGCACTTTGATGTTCAGTCATTTTATTGTTGTATTGCGGATGTTCCTGGACAGCCCTTTCCATGGAGGGCCATATGGTGAACAACGGCGCCCCTCAAAGTAGTGTTTTTTGCATAGACATTTGTTTTGGGAAAGATTTTGACTCAGGACAATCTTCAAAGAAGAAGACAGATTGTGGTCAACTGGTGTTTTATGTGCAAAAATGACGAGGAATCAGTATCATCTTCTTTTACATTGCCCAATGGCTTGAGATTGTTGGCTTTTCTTTTTGGGTTTGTTTGGGATTCACTGGGTTATGTCACGCTCTACCAGAGGCTTGATTGAGGATTGGACAGGTTGTATAGTGACAGCCCAAGTTCGTGATTCTTGGAGGGTTATGTGTTTGGTGGTGTTTGTGGCTTGAAAGAAATAGAAGATCATTTGAGGGACAGGAAAATCATATTGGGTGTTGAAGTTCTCCATCCTTAGCACTCTTTTTTGTTGGGTTCTAGGGTGAAATTGTAAATCCTTGGGTGAGCTTGTAGAGTTTTTGGATTTGTTGAGAGTTTAGTGGCCCTACTTGGCCTTGTGTTGTTTTTTGAGGGATGTGTTCCCCTTTTGAATGCTTTTAATGAAATTTTACTAATAAAAATAAATAAATAAATAAACTGTCTAACCAGTGTGGCAGAAGACAAATAAAAACTTATTAAGAATTCAAAATGCAGTTACCTGGTCTCAGATCTTTCTTGCTTCGTGCTGGTTAAACTGATCTTAAAAAAAATGGCCTCAGTCTGCAATATATTTCTGAATATGCTGGATAATGGATGAGTCATAAGAGTTACAGAATAAGTATCCCTGTGTCAACCTTGAGACAATTTGCATGGGAGAGTTGGTAGAAGTACAAGTGAAAAGTTCGTCATGATTTTCAATCAGAAGAAATCTGTCTCTTCAGCTTCTGCCAAACTTCAGCGCCTCTGGGGTGATTAATTACATACTGATTCATGAATATTTTATCTGTGCATGCGACAATAGTGCTCAAAGCCAAATTGCGTTCTACAGTCCCTTGATCTTTGAGCCAATTATACATTGAGAACCTAAGCTTGACCCTCTGAATTGTGTAGTTAAGATATGCTGGAAATGCCACTAAAGATGACGAGGGATACCCCAGTTCATTTACAAGAAAATCAATCTTCATATTAATCACCTCCTTTTTTTGGTTAAGAACTTGAGGAGCTAATTTGATCATAACTTTAACATCCTTCTTATTCAAACCAGCATTCACAAAACAATCAAATCTCTCCTGAAGTTCTTCTCCATTGCCTCGGAACACTTTGAGAGCTTTTCTCATTTCGTTTGAGTCTTCAGCGATTCCCAAGTCCAACAAGAACTTAATCTTCATCGTCTTTGACCTTAGTTTCGCCCCCGAGTTTGGTAACGGTTTCAGCCTTGATCCAAGAACCCAATTCTTCAGCTCTTGTGGGTTCTTTTTGATGATTTGACAGAGTCGCGTCTTCCCAGTACTCAAGCCAACAATTAAGCTGTTGAGTTTCTTTAGATGACATGAACCCAGCAATACGGGGTGTGAACGAACAATCGTCTCAATCTCTTCCACTTGCATCTTAATTTCGATAAAAAAGTGATAGCAATGCCTCAAATTGCAAACGAAGTGCTCAACCTGGACTTGTGGGAACTGCAGAAACATAGAACATATCTCATTCCTCGTGGCACCAAATTTCATTAAGAACCCGATTAGTGTAAAGGACATATTTCCAGAATTTTGGAATAGAAGTCCCGGATGCTGACAGATTATACCTTTTAATTGCTCCTCACTGCAACCCATATTGCTCAATAAGCATAAAAGCTCAAACATATGGCTCCAATTATAAGAATTCCCCTCTAATAAATGCCCCTCAATACAACCATATTCGATCCCAACAGACTTGAATTTTTCTAATATCTTAGGAAGCTCCCTATTTGTATCCCCAATCAAAAGATAAGGACTTGAAGAAACAATCTTGATTACAGTAGACTGGTTCAACCCCATTTCTTCAAAAGCTTGAAGCTTTGACTGCAAAACACCATCATCATATCTGAAAACTTCCGTTGCTTCCTTGTAGATCCTTCCGATCTTATTTCGTGCAATACCATAATCACACAAAACATGAAAGTTTTTTAGCAAAGTTTCATCATCATTCAGAAACATTAAGTTACGAGGCAGAAGTGTAGAATACTCGGAAGGTTTTAAACCAATGCTCTCAAAAAAGGGTTCAAACTCGTTAATGGGGTGGTACCGCAACAACCGTGTTATGGACCACCCAACATCTACTTCATTCTTGAACTTCTTTAACAGCTTTTCAAGGAAAAGTGGTGAGTTTCTGCTCATATCATCAGCATCCATATACTGCAAGCTTCTAGTGGAATGCAGGTATTCCAATAAAGCAGCTTGGGCTTCTTGCTGAGAGGTAAAATTAGTTCCGAAATACCTACGGTATTGCGCAATGTGGTGCGACCCAGTTGCCCAAATGCTTGTTTTTGATGATCTAAATTGGTTTTCATAGAAATTTAGAGAAACCCATCTGAGAAGTTTCAGTATATGGGTCATGGCGATGAGATTTTCAGTGTATGATGCAAAGGAAATATTAAAAAGGGACAAGTTTAAGCAATACAATAGCTATTATATATGAAGAATCAACCGACCTTTTGAACGAATAGAGCCGTCCTGTTCGTGCACGTCCACCAACCAGACGGCCACCGGATTGAGATGATCGAACAAATCCATTGGAGCTTGCTCTTAATCGATGCTCTAGGTCACCGGAACTGCCACTGCTAACGGTGAACTCTTACCTTATCAACGGCTGTTCCGAGAGTTATTAATCGATGTTCTAGGTCACCGGAACTGCCATTGCTCTTATCTAAAATGAACAGCATTTACAAGAAGACCCATTAGGGTGGCAAATGGGTAATTTGGGCGGGTTATAATTGAATGGGTTTAACCCATTATCAACTCATTTATAACAGGGTCCATAAACAATTTGGGTGTTAAAATAGTGGGTCAACCCAAATCTAACCGGATGAGAAAACCCAAATCTAACCCGATGACTTAAAAATTGGTAGGCATAAATTGTCAAATTATTACGATTGTCGAGCAAGTAATTCAATTCAAACACGACCCAACAATCAAAATTTGGTATTTGATTGAAACCTAAAAACTAAAAATCATTTCACCTGTAAAATAATTTTCTCCAAAACATCAAGAATGACTTTATACATAAATTATCCTTCAATTCCATAGATTCCGATGACACACACTGAGTGCATTGCTTCCCTGATTTTTTTTTACTATTAATATTATTGACTTTTTCATTTTTTGAACTATATACTTATGAAATTTTTTTTTCGCTCCCTAAATTACAAAAAATATATATATTATTGCACCCTCACATAAATTTTTGGGTCTCTCCCTGCCTATACTCTATCATCTTTCTTTCATAAGTGTTCTTGGAAAAGCTCTCCAAATCATCCGTTATAGGCCTAATTAAGCCTTAATTTCGAACCTATGTAAATTAGCTTTCAGCCGTAATTAGAAATATATTTGTAATCTGGTAGCATCCTATTGTCTAATATGCTGTCTAAGGACAAAATAGAAAAGAACATTATACAAATAATGATTTATCAAACACTTTGCGGGCAAGAAACAAAGAGGAAAATAAAGGAAATAACATTAATGAATAAAAGTTTCAAATCAAAATCTCCATTCTGCAAGACAGTGTGCATTGGTCTCTAGCCATGGCACCGACATTTGGAATGGGACCGATGGGTGCAAGGTAGGTGCAGCAAGGTCTCACTAGCCCTGAATTGTTCCAAAAGAACGAATACACACTCATTGGGAGAGGAAATTGACTGTTTCAATTGAGAAATTCATGTAACATTGGATTGAGAAAAATGGTTCCAAAGATCTAACCAAATCTCCCTCGCAGTGTCAGCACACAAGACGCTATTACAAATCTCACTTGTAACCGAGTTTCTTGTTCACATGCCTTCCACCCCAACTTTGCCCAACTGAACCTCCTAGACCCACTCTTCTTCGAGGGTTAAGTGTAAAAAAATTCCCTCTATTATCGATATAGTACAAAACAGTTCCTGTATGGTATAAAACCCTTTATATTATCAATTTGGTACAATTACTCACTGCTCGCATAAAAAGACATTAATATCCTCTCTAATATAAATTTCTGGGTCAAGTGCAAAAAATACCCTTGATATATAGAATTTTTGCAGAAGTAGTCCATACTTTTTGAAAATGTACATTTCAGTCCATAAAATTCAAAAAAGGTGCAATTAAGTCCCTTTGACCACTTTTTCGTCAAAATTGGCATAAAATAAATTCAAAAAAAAACATGACATTTTATCCTCATTTGAAAAAACATATACTATACACACACACACACACACACACACACACACAATACCATAATTTCCTCTTTAAAGAATCCATATTAGACCAGGTCGATGAGTGTCTGTACGGAAAAGGTAGTTTTATTGCCCTCGAGTTGAAGAAAGTAGGACTCACAACACCCTTTTGGTCCCCTGAAAAAGTAAAGTGAACAAATGCATGCAATTTTGAAATTACAGTGATTGTAATTTCCAAAAATAAAAAACAGTGATCATTCTTGAAATTTATCATAATTACTATATAAACTAAATGCATTATTTGTTGAAAAATTATCAGTTAGTTTAACTTTACAGTGGGTAAAAAAGAAAAAAGAAAAAAATTCCACTTTATTGTAATAATCAAGAGGAATAAAGTTCTATTTTTTAATATATCTTTAATTTAGTTCAGAATTCATTAGTAATTAATTTTTTACAATTTTGTCATTACTTATCGAATATCTTAAATATATTTATTTTAAGGTTAATAATCTTAATTGGATAATATTGAATTTTGTAACTATTAGTATAAATTTTATGGGAAAAAAAAATTCAAAAATAAAAGTTAATGGTCTTAAATCGATCGCAATTTTTGAAATTTTTAGGTTCGGTCTGGTTAGATGAAAATTAGTAGTGGTTATATTCTATATTTGTTTTGCATGAATTTTTTACATTGCCTAATTTTTTTAATATTACTTCATTCATATTAGAAAGGGTATTAATGTCTTTTTATGTGAACAGGGGGGTAATTGTACCAAATTGATAGTATAGAGGGGTTTTATACCATACATGGACTGTTTTGTACTATATCGATAGTAGAGAGGGGTTTTTGCACTTAACCCAAGGGCAAAATAGGGTTTTTGAATTTATTTTATGTCAATTTTGACCAAAAAGTGGTCAGAGGGGCTTATTTGTACCTTTTTTGAATTTTATGAAATGAAATGCATATTTTAAAAAAGTTGGGACTATTTTTGCATAAGCCCTATATATCAGGGGTTTTGTTTTGTTTTGCCCTTAACCCTCTCCAATACCTTACACCTTCGATCACCACCGCCGTGTTGGATGTATCACAAAAGTAGCACTCCTCACAGGAAAGTTTCTTCATAGGACAAAATCTTTGAAACAAATAATAGTCTAATAAATAATTTTTATAGTTGAAAATCTTCAGCATGCGTTTGAAATTTATAATTTTGGGCACAATTTGGTATAGCTAAATTAAATAAAAGATTCTAATTTGATTAACAAAGAGAATTAAGAACCTCTTGTAAACTTACCAAAAGGGATTAGGAATGAATTGAGAATAACTATACAAACAGCACCTTATGTGACATAGTCCCATATCTAAAAAGTGTAAGAAGTTGATGAGAAAATTATAATTATAAAAACAGTAAAGGCTGGTATCATTGCGTTTGGGGTAACGAGGCAGCTCATGAAGTTTGATTTTATTATAGCACATGATCTTTCCGATATTGACAGCTTAGTGGAACCATGAAACTAGGTTAGTTTGGGATCTTGATTTCTCAATTTAGATTCATAACAATTAGTATATAATTGCAGGAGTTAAGTATCTAAACTAACAACTAGTGTCTTGTAAAAAGTTTTTATTCTATTTGGTGTTGCAATGACTTCAGTGATAAGTGTTGAGCTGTTAATCCATTCCACACACAAAAATATGCTTCGAATGAATCCAAATTGCACATGTCTAAATGAACAGTGGATTGCACATGTCTAAATGAACAGTGGTCAATTGCTGGTTGAAAACTATTTTCCTTTTTATTGCTATGTTTGGCCTCCGTTTCACTTAGGGGTGCAACTTGGACCCAATTCAAGTTGGGTTTTTTCAAAACCAGCACTGTTTGGGTTGGATGATCTTATCAAAGGGTTGGTAGCGTGTATCGTTTTTCTGAAAACCCTAAGCTTCATAGTTGTTCACATGATTGATTGCAATCCTAAATAAACATATTTGTTCTTATATATATATATATATACATGTCTATATATGTTTCCATATTTTTTATAAATACATGATTGATTGTAATCCTAAATCATGTATTTTTATTTAATTACATGATTAATTGCAATCCTAAATAATTTCCATGTTTCATATACCAAGAAAGAAAGACTTTTTTGACTCTAATGTTGTAGGTCTTTTCTCTCTCTCTTATCTTTTGTTCAAAATCTTTAGGTTTGGTTGGGGCTGCTGGGAAAATTTTAAAATTAAAGTTTATTTAATAACAAATAAAAAGAAAAAAAGTTTTTTATTTTTATATCTAACCAAAATAAAATATGTTTTATTTTGGTTGCATTAATAAAAATAAAATTAGAGTTGGAAACATAAAAAAATTAATGTCTTAAAAAAAAAAAAAAAAAAAGAGAATGGGTCAATCCGTTCAAAAAAAAATTGTCGGGCTTGGGTTATTTGGAAGCCCAGCTATGAGTTGAAATTGGGTTAGCCCAACCCAACCTGACTTCGGGTTGAGTTTTGAGTTGGGACGGGACTAGATTAGGCCTACCCAACTTGCACCCCCAGTTCCGCCCAGCCATCGAGAATTTTTGGAAGAGCTCGTTTCTTGGGTAAAGTCCTACAATTCTAAGTTCTAAATTTTAGTTTCATGCCTACAACCTTCTGAAAACTCTTGTGGCAAAATTTTGGTGATTTACATCTCACTGGAGAGGATCCCGAAACCACAAGAACAAACATTCATGGTATCAACTATATGTAGAATTGAGGTTGAACCCTGGATTTGATTGAAAGCAAGACATCTATAATAGGAAGTTAAACGAAAAAATGTAACTTATGAGAAATTATATAATTATAAAACAGTGCATAGACCGACTTAAAAAGTGTAACTTGATGAGAAATTATGAAACTTGATGAGGCATTTAATACTGTGTCTTTGATTCACAGTCTCGTCTTCGCTTTCATCTCCTCTATATGCCATTTAGAGTTACAAATTTTGAGAATAAGATCTGTGGATCATTTCTGTCTCACTCCAAAAATTCAAAAACCCATTTCAGAGATGGTTATTGGGAATCAAAGAAAAAGCTTGAAACTGAACTCTCACTTTATTTATTTATTTATTTTTTTGAGTGTTGGTATAACAAGAATAATGATAAATAGTCCGATTTATGTGAGTAGGGATGATCACTACTCACATCAATTTGGCCGAATGTGTCGGACACCCTATCATTAAGCATATAACAATATATCAAATAATTTCAGAAAAAAAAAAAGAGAGGAGAAATTGTTGAAATTAAAATCTGGATGATTTGGGAATTACAATTGATTTGATTTAAATGAGTCAAAAACTAAGTTGAATAAACGCCACCAAATATAAACCTCTTACATAATGTTAATATTAAGGGACGCTTTCAGCGATATTTAAAATACTTTATCAAAACGTACTTAATTGAATAAGAGATTTGGGTTTTGGGAGGCCCCTTTTACACCCTATTTGTTTGACTTAGGTAATCAAATAGCACCTTAATCCTTAAATATAAAAAGTAACATTAAC